TACAAGAAGAAACATCCTGGCTGTCGATGTGCTGCACCCGAGTGCGCTGAGCAGGCAGCAACAAGTAACACAACTGGGAAACATTGCAGTCAGGTCCATCATACCAGCCGATGGTGCGACCACATCAGGAGTCGTTTACGGCATTAACACGGAAATCCCAAACGCAGACCTTCCAATACTTATGAAACCAGCGAGTCAAGACAACGTCATTGTCAGCGTTGGACGGCTTGATAACACACGCTGTGTGAAAGTAACGTTCAAAGGTGACAGTCTTCCCGCATACGTGTAGGTTGGCCACTTTCGTCAACAAGTTCGACCGTTTATTCCTAAACCCATGCAATGCTTCAATTTTCAGAAGATCGGCCATGTGAAGGGTGTTTGCAGGAGCTCCGCAGCGTGCACCTGGTGCGCCGAACCACACGCGGAAGACAACTGTAGCGCTACCACACTGAAGTGTCCTAACTACCACGGTGCTCACAAGGCTTCTTCGAAAGAATGTCTGCACATAAAGAAAGAATTTTCTATTCTGAAGCAAATGGTACGAGACAGCTCAACCCTCAAAGAAGCTCCTGAAAAAATCCGGCGAAGATGACGTCGCCGTCGAAGGTATTCACGTCGGACGGTGCCAACTTCAGGCAATAAGTCGACGCATCACGTCAGCTGCCGTTTCCAGCACGGTGAACACAGACGTTGGCAAAGAGTAAAGGAGCAGACTAGTCTCTACAGAAAAGTGGCTTTTACTTACGCGTATAGAACGCTCAGAAGAGCCGCAGCAGAAGCTGTCTTCTTCAGAGCAAGCTGCTGCAATGGAGGATTCGCGAAACGCAGATCAGCAAGTGATAGCTCTTTTGCGACCCTTAATTAACGCCATTCGCTTGTTGTTAAGCAACATGCACACAGCGTCAGCAAGAAGTGAATTGCAATTACTGGACGCTTTGAGTCCAGTACTAGCAGCACTTGAGTAAATAATGGCTCAACAGCCACTGTCTTTCAGAGAAGAGGTCCGAAAGGCAGCGATTATTCAATAAAGTTCCCGGGGACTGAGGTCACGCATCACCGATTTCCGTCGCTTCGTGTACACCAATAAGCTCCCCATCATTGTCATCTGTGAGCCAAATTTGCAGAAAGAAATAAGACTTTCTGGTTATGAGTCATTTATGTCGCCTACAACTGCGGACAATAGCAAAGTTCTGATGTTTATTCGCCGCGACCTAACCTACATTCATCATCCGGTGCCACCCCACGACGACAATCATTATATAAGTATAACAGTGAAAAGGAGACTCATCATCACGGTTGTGGGTGCCTACCTCTCTCCGTCAAGCCGTTTTGATCATACAAGACTACAAGGTATCCTGTCAGCAACTTCTCACCCTTGCATTATAATTGGCGACTTCAACACCCATCATACAATCTGAGGAAGTTCGAAGACCAATGTCAAAGGGAGAAAGTTGGTGTCCTTCGCCTCCTACAACCAACTTTTTTTGCTAAATGATGGCAGTCCACCGTTCCTACGTGCTTCAAGGTATAGCAGCTGCCTTGACCTGGCCTTTGTCTTACGAAGCCTCGTCAGGCATGGTCAGTAGTTTCCAGACATAGAAACGCATGCAAGTAACCACATTCCCACTTACGTCAAAATCGAAGGATTGTCTCATGCTAAGATACGCGATAGTGTTCAGAGAGTCGACTGGTTGAAATTCCAGTCTCGCATAGAAGAGCAATGTGAAGCAAACATATCCATCAATATAGAGGAGATAATTAAAAGCAGAATACACGACACTATACGTTTACCCTCACCTGCTCTCCCAAAGTAACGGAATTTGACATCGAGCGAGAACGACTTCGAGCAATCCGACGGCGTGCTGAACGAAGATACCGACGCACGGAGGCAATAGAAGACTTACGGTTGCTCGACGTATACAGAAGAAGATTCAGCGCCGGATGAATAAACTCGAGTCACAACGTTGGACTGCTTTTTGTGAGTCACTTGACCGACGAAAACCTTTATCCCAATTGTGGAAGACGGAACGAGGTCTCCGCACAAAACCCACTCAGTGGTCACAATTGAGAGCTCTCGCACTTTCTGAACAGAGACGCGACATTGACGTGGCAGAAGACTTCTGTGCCAGAGTATCGGGGCCACTCGCAGTGCCCGATAGCCTATTGCCTTCGACAAACTGTCCACAAACACTGGATTCCCGCATAAATACGCGTTTTTCCATCGTGGAGCTCTGAGCAGCACTTGCTTTGTGTGGACGCACGTCGGCACCAGGGCCCGATAGGGTTTCCTATAGGGCCTAGTGTCATCTGAGCGAACGCGCGAGAATCCTCCTTTTAGAGTTGTACAACAAATCCTGGCAAGATAGAACGCTCCCGACAAGCTGGAAGACAAGTCGCCTAGTTCCACTTCTGAAGCCAGGCAAGTCCATGTTGGAGCTCTCATCTCATCGTCCGATCGCATTGGCCAGTTGTCTAGGCAAAGTTATAGAGAGGATGATCCTGGGACGCCTGGAGAGGTTTTCGGATGTAACAACATCTACCCAGATGCCATGGCAGGATTTCGGCATGGTCGAGCATCGATTGACAACGTAGTCGATCTGGTCAGTTACGTCCAACACGAGAAAGGCCGTAAGCGTCTCTGCGCATCTTTATTCCTAGACGTGAAAGGGGCGTATGACAACGTTACACATGAAGCTGTTTTCACCACTCTCGAAGATATAGGAGTAGGTGGTTGGATGTATCGCTGGATACGTAGTTATTTGTCAATGCGATCCTTCTTTGTGAGCACTGAAGACAGTCCAGACATTACAGCCACCGTGGCGTACCCCAGGGTGGCGTACTCATCCCTGTGTTGTTCAATTTTACGTTAATTGCTCTCACTGAGCATCTGCCAAGCACGGTCAGGCTATCAATGTACGCAGATGATATCTGCGTTTGGGCATCGGCTGTAACACGCCTGCAGTTACGAGGGAGAAATCAAAAAGCTGCCACTGAAACATTACGCTACCTCTGAAATCGAAGCTTGGAAATTTCTTCCGAGAATTGAGCCCTCGTAGCTTTTACATGAAAGCCTAAGGATAAGTACACTATAAGCATCAATGGTCAAACTGTGCCATACGTTCGATCGCACAAGTTTTTGGGCGACATAATCAAAAGGAATATATCATGGCGCAATTACGTTTCATACATGAAGAAACAGTTAAAGGACATCAGTAATGTACTGAAGTTTTTTGCAGAGAAGACTTGGGAAATGTCAAGCAGTGCAATGCTATAGCTGTAAAGAGTACTTTTTCTCGCTTTCCTGCGGTACAGTTTACCGGCATTGACCAATGCAAGCAAAACAAGTCTTCGAACGCTACAGAGTGTTCAGTCCCAGGCACTCCGGATTTGCCTCATTTTGCCTCGTAGTGCGTCGACAATGGCTACTATAGCTATCGGTGGTGACTACCTCATCACGACACATATCAACGTTGAGGCACTCAGGACACATATAAGGCATATTGCTCGGACATCCTGCCACCACCTAGCCTCTTTACTAGCAGACAGACCACGTTCGTCGTTTTGCCAAACGGTCAACACATATCGCGATTCTTTGCCAACATGCTTCACACCCGCCGCCAGGCCTTCGACTCCTCCCTGGTGCCTGACTCAGGCTAACATCAGGCTAACTATACCTGGCATCCAGAAAAAAGCAGATATGTCGTCACCTGCTCTTAGACAGCTTGCTCTCCTCTTGTTATACGAGACGTATCAAGGCTGTATACACGTATGCACCAACGGCTCTGTTTTACAGAAGAGTTCAACGGCATCATTTGTTATACCGATAAAAGACACAAGAAAATTCAAGACCTCCCACCTTACGACATCAACGGGAGCAGAGCTCACAGCTCTTCGTGCCGCATTGCAGTTCATCAGCGATCAACAGCCACAAAAATGGACAGTTTTCAGCGACTCAAAGGCGGCACTGCAATTCCTTCTATCACCTTTACGCCACGGCCCGTACGAACAGCTGGTATTTGAGATTGCATAAAAGACTCAACAATTCATTGAGAAGGAACATGAAATAGCCTTTCAATGGCTTCCAAGTCATTGTGGAATAATTGGCAATGAACGGGCCGATCGAGCTGCCCGTTTTGCCCATACAGAAAGCAATGAAATATCAATTCCGCTTTGCAGAACTGACGCTTCACGGAAACTCCGCATTCTTCCTCGTAAGCGCACCACGTCACAATGGAACAAGTCACACTTCATTTATGCTCGGTTACGTACTTTAGACCCAACTCTCAGTCTTAGAATTCCTCCGGAATCACGCCGAGAAGACGCTACTATGCTGTGCAGATTATGGTTGGGCGTCGCATTTACCATTGCGTACGCGTTCCGCATGGGAATGGCTGACACTGCTGCATGCGACCATTGTGGCAGTGATGAAACAACTTAGCACATTCTGTGTGAATGCCCACAATACTGCTCGTAGAGACAGTCACTCTGCAATGCACTAGATGAACTGGACAACCAGCCTCTTTCGGAAGAAAGAATCCTGTGCTGCCGACAGGACTTTATGTCGCAGAAGAAGGCTGTGAAGGCACTCCTGCGCTTCTTGCGTTCAACCGGCCTGTCCAAACGACTGTGATCGGAACTCCCTGAATCTGTGCGCATGTAATTTCTAATTTTTTCTAATTTATTTTATATCTCTCTATATCTATCCTCTTTCCTACCCTTTTTCCCACCCCGTATAGGGTAGCAAACCAGTTCGTCTAGGTTAACCTCCCAGTCTCTTCCTTTAATTTATTTCTCTCTCTCTCAAAAAATCCTATGAAGAGTGGTTGACCACTCCTCCTCCCTAATTCCGCCTATCTCCTCCCATGGCCACTCCCTAACTGCACCTATTAAATCACAATATTGGAATTGACAATGACCAACATAGGCAGTAGGTTGATTTCAACTATCAGGAGTCAGGTTTTTGAATAAACATTTGTTTCCAATAGTCACTAACTTGGTACTTACTTTTTTACCAGAAGTAGTATCGGTAGACACAGAAGGAAGAACTGGAAATCCAGGGAGACGTACCACAAGTACACAAACGGCGGCTGAAAAGAAACCACATCGGTGGTAGACATTTACGCATGATGTGACAGGTCAGCAACGTTACTTCCTACGAATGAATGACGTTCATTATTTAAAAAAACACATTAAAAGCACGTGAACCTACATTTACCTAATAACTTTTCTATGCCTGCATGTTGAGCTATGTTATGGAACTCGATATGCCGCATTTCAGGCCTCGTTGAAGTGGCTTAGTTGCTTTGACACTCTACAATAATTAGCAACTTGTTCGTCTGAAGAAGCGAAAATGATAGATAGATATGTGGGGTTTAACGTCCCAAAACCATTATATGATTATGAGAGACGCCGTAGTGGAGGGCTCCGGAGATTTAGACCACCTGGGGTTCTTTAACGTGCACCCAAATCTGAGCACACGGGCCTACAACATTTCCGCCTCCATCGGAAATGCAGCCGCCGCAGCCGGGATTTGAACCCGCGCCCTGCAGGTCAGCAGCCGAGTACCTTAGCCACTAGACCACCGCGGCGGGGCAAAGAAGGAGCGAAAAGTTAGGCAACTATGTTACCAGTATTAGTAACGTTACATGGTCAGGCACTGTACTCTTCCCAATCATTGTTTCCTTAAGGTAATCAAAATGATATTAAATAAAGGCAAAAGTGCTACGAAAACTAAATAAGCCGAATACTATTTCGTGGCTGTGGGCGAGGTCCCGTGTTCACTTGTGAGAAAGAAAGAAAACCCATCATGCAGGGAAAGGCAAGTTTACTGATATTCTTGTTGAATGATGCGGTGATTTTACGTATTGCGTTAAACAAAGTGAACGCGCGTTTCAAGTTGGTTGGTTCTTGCGGTTTAGCGTCCTAAAACCACGTTACGGTTGTGAAAGATGCCGTAGCGAAGAGCTGGGGAAATTCGGACCACCTAGGCTTCTTTATCGTGTACCTAAATCTGAGCACACTGGCCTCAAGCATTTTCACCCCCATCGAAAATGCCGCCGCCGCCGGAATTCGATGCCGCGTCCTGCGGGTCAGCAATAGAGTGCCTTAGGGTCATTACTTGCGCTGGCCATCAAGCCGCAACGCACGTGCCGGGACACCAGCCGCACCTAAGCGTAGGAAAATGAGCGATTCGATAACGCTCCCCCCCCCCCCTCGCTTGGGTGCGGCAGGAGTCCCGGCACGTGCGTTGCGGCTGAGCGGGAGACGCGTTGAAAGACCCTCAGCCACTACACCACCGTGGCTGGTAAAAAAAACGCGTTTCAGAAGAGTAACACTTCAATCCAAACGGTGACAATACAAAAGCGTTAACTGATGAGGTTTGATACGGAATGTCTTTGATGGTTATCAAATGCCTGGAAGTCATAACGAAATGATGTTGAAAGTAATGACGCTAGGACGTTGCCAGCTATTCAAATAAATGCAGACGTCAATGAACGCATAGTTACCGCTTCCTACTTTTTTTTTTGTTTTGTCAGAGCATGCGAGAGAGAATCGTATTTCACTGCATTTGCGCATCAAAATAGTTACGGGAAGCCATGGCATATGACACCTGGGACGTACGTAGTGGCTGGAATCTCCTAAAGAGCGTAGTTTATACGTCACCTACGGTATCGAGAAGTTGGAGCGGAGTTTTCTCTTCTTGCACGATGAAGAGGAATGAGCTCGCACTATTCAAACATATGCTCATATAGAGCGCGGGGAAATATAGGCAATTTCCTCGCACTATTGAAACCTGAGTTGAAAGCAGCAGTACATTTTCCCCCAAAATGTATTGGGGCATTTTAAAAGCTGCTACATTTCAAACACTTGCTCCAACTTACATATTTTAAGCCACGAAGGTGGTCAGGGCTTCGTAAAACGTGCTGGAGATAAGATATACGCGTGCCAATATTCAGCATATTAAGCTTGATCCCTAATTTTTGCATGGGTACCACAGCAGTTGAAAACGGAAGCTGCCATTATCGACGTTTAGGTAATTGGTTCTCAGCGAACTGTTTCTAGCGTAACCATGTCACGATAATCTCCTACCTGCATGCGGCAAGGGCCATCTTGTTCGTGCAGCTTATTCGTGGAGACACATGAGCAAAAAAAATACGATGAAAGGTTCTACTCCGTATACGTGAAGACTTTTTCAATGCTCCTAAAGTACATTCCTTTCGACAAGAACACAGAACTTAGTATGCATGGCGGATAAACGGCTTCACCATATACACCTATAGATTCGACTGCTTTGCGAGCTATGTATACGTGCCGTTTCAAGTCACTCTGAGCGCATCTTGTAGGCATAAGTAGACTTGAGCAGGTGGTGGCCTTGAAAGTACACCTTTGAAACGCAAATGTTTCACCGAGTATATAACTTATTTTTGTTTTAATATTTTCTTGCTTTTTTGTGTCTGAATCTTTGCCGCTGCTTAAACGGGACCTGAAGCACCTTGTGATAAAATTGAAGTTTTCATGGCAAGTTGTGTTATTTAGTACGGGGATCTCGAAAATTGTGACGAAATCTCGCATCACGTTGTGCGAATAAGTTTACTTGGGCAAAAACGCGCAGCACATGCTTTGAGTGGCATTGCGAATTTCTCCATCGTCAACGATGGGTCGAAACATCGTTACGTAACCTGGGGAGCTGCCAAGGCTGCTGATTGCGCGCAGCAACAGACGATAGCATCTAGTCAGTTTTTTATGTTTAAATAAGCGTGTAGTTAATACGGCAATCTGCGGCTGTAACAATGAGCTCATGTAGTATATCCGTACTTCTTCGAGCCAACCACGTGCGTATCCGAGCAATTACAGAACGTGCTGTCATCACCAATAAAACGGCAGAGAAAAGTACGCCCCAGCCCACCACGTCCATCCTGGATGAACACGATTGGAAAATATTTAATTTCACGGCTAGTCACAAATAACGGTTATTGAGTCACTGGCAGTGATCATAGTCGAGGCTTATTCAGATCACTGGTTTATTTGCATCAGGTGGCGCAATACGCATGGACATTTTAGACAACGATTTTGTTTGATCCATTGGCATTAAATTGTCACCGAACATCTCGTCATAGATCGTGAATGTCATCATTTATGGCAAAGACCGCCATACCTATATCAGCGGCAACTCTCGATCTTGACCGAGAAAAATGACGATATCGAAGTTCTGATCGATAGTGTTTTATTATGTTCGAGAAATGTCACTGCCGCATGGGTACCACCATAGAGTGTCCTGTAAATATACTACAGCGAACAATAGCGCTAGTGTATATGGAAGCTAAAGTATAGTGCTTCAGCCAGCATGGAAATGATGGGCAGTACACGAATTTGTCCAAGCTTTATCCTTTTGGCTATGCACGGTCCCATGTGTCCTGGAGTCGCTTTGTCGCAAAACAAAGTTCAGTAAATGTGCCGCGGTTTCAGTTCACCACCTTAACCTGTTAGACTCACCAAATCAAATCATCTTGTGAAGTTAATAACCGGTGCATTTTTTTACATCCGAAAAAAAATCGAAACGCAACAATAAACAAACTCACAACTGCGTCTGTAGCCCGCAAGCATGAAGATTGGGTAAATTCATGTACTACCCACCGTTCCCACGGATGCTGAATGATCATAGTGCAGTTCCCTCTAACAAAAAAAAAAAACTTCGGCAGATCCCACGTACCTCGGGAATCAATGTTATGGGAAGCATGTGGAGACAAAGTAACTGTGTTGGAATTTTCCAATGCGAAGCATCTATTTTACTTGCCCGTGTAACGCTGTCCCTCCATACGAACGCGCCGCATGCCGTAGGCGTTCGCGCGGCGCCACGTAGGTCACTCCGCTGCTGCCCGTTGACACCACGCTAACTTCGCAGTGCGGATCATATGGTGGTTTTGGGATGTTAAACCCCACATATCAAAAAATCAAACTTCACAGTGCGCCTGACGTCACTCTTTCTCTCTCGCCGGCCGCACGCCCGTAAAACATGCTACGAGCATCACTCGCTACACTGACTCGTCGGTTCACGCGCAATAAACCTGCCACGCTTATTGTACGCGTTGAAACATGGCTGTACGTGTCACCTACAAGACCTACGCCAGCCATTGCTTAAAAAGAATTTACCTGCGCTCGCCGCAGCACCCGCGTTAACGCCACGTGGGTGCAGTGCGGCTACGCATACCATCAGGGTTTCTTTCAAGGTGATGCTACAAGTTTTTTTTTTTAACTGAGCGAAACGCTAGGAAATGACGCTAAAGGTATGTACAAATACTTTACGCACTGATGTGTGTTAAACAATCATATGCTTACTATTGCATCCGTCATGCCTCACAAAACTTAAACCGATACTGAACATCTGCACAACAACAAAAAAATATAACATGTGTCAACAACTGATTTTGCGTGTAATCAGCTATACAACAGCGCAATAATCTCCCAAGCCGTTCGTCTGTCCATCCGTCCCTCAAAATATTCTAGAAAACTCTATCGGTAAAATCATCCGGTTCGTACAAGGTTGACTTCATTCGACATGATGGTGCCGTTGACATCCCAATCTCAAGATCGACGGATCTAGAAAAAGCACGATAAAAAGCACCCATGTCACAACACGCAATCTATAACATGTATATAAGCGATTGAGATTGGACGTTACTGTGGAAGAAAGACCTTAGCACAGCCTTCACACGTAACAATAACCAGTGAGCGAACAAATAAATCCAGCTAAATAATTATTCCCAGCGATCAAGTTTGTTGCTGTAGCGGGCTAACGCACCGTGGACCGCTTGGGGTTGTGATGACCTTATTATGAGTAGCGCGATCCTTGGAAATTGTACCGAATGCTCTTATTTAGACCGCTTTATTAACATGCAGGAGGCTGCTCCAAAGTAGCACTTATTTTCCTTTACAATAAAAGCGCGCCGGCCACCCCACCGCGGTAGTAGTGGCCAAAGTATGCTCGGCTGCTGAGCCGCAGGTCGCTGGATCGAATTCCGGCACCGCCGGATGCGTTTTCGATGAAGACGAATATGCTGTAGGCTCGTGTGTTCAGATTTTGGCGCACGTTAAAGAACCACAGATGGTCGAAATTTCCAGAACCCTGCACTGCGGCGTCTTTATTAATCATATGGTGGTTTTCTGACGTTAAACCCCACATATCATAATGAGCGCGCCAGAGCCGCTTATGAAGTTCTCAAGAATACGAGCATAATAGTGAGAGCACCGTTACTGCGTGACTCAAGTAAACCATGGATACTGGCAAAACAAAGACAAGTGTGCATTGCGTACAACATTTAGGAGGTAAATTAACCAGATCTTTATTTGAACAGCTTTATTTGAATAGATAGATAGATAGATAGATAGATAGATAGATAGATAGATAGATAGATAGATAGATAGATAGATAGATAGATAGATAGATAGATAGATAGATAGATAGATAGATAGATAGATAGATAGATAGATAGATAGATAGATAGATAGATAGATAGATAGATAGATAGATAGATAGATAGATAGATAGATAGCGCTGAAGTTCGCTAAGAAATGTTTCGAATTTAAAATCTGCTTGCGAGAGCGATAGTTCCTCTATTTATCTCATCAACAAAAAATCGTAGTTTCGCCGCAAAGGTGAAGCAATGAATGTGATGGCAACCAATCGGAATGTCTCGCGAACAGCAGCAACCAGATAGAAACGTGCAGCGTGCTGATCAAGACGAAACGATGCACAAAAAGAGCACACACACCGCACGAACGCGGCCTAGCGACGTTCACAGCTCAACGCTCTGCTTAATTTCAAAAGACGCAGGAAACGGATACGCAGAGATAACGTATATGCGCAGGTATACACAGGATAAGCGCGAAATAACTATAATGTGCCACAGTTGTTACTTCGTTGTCTTTGAAAAGCACTGTCTTTTTGGAAACGGAGCAGTGAGCAAAGTGGCCTTCATGCGCCCTGTAACCAGAACACAATCGCTCCGGTGAAAGCCCAAGACGTACAATTCTCCATGCCACCGTGACATAAGCGCGCTCGCACGCACGCACCGGTACTCCATTGGCAAAGTACGCAAGCGGGCAACTGAATGTGCCCCTCCGCGCAATATCGCAGGAAAAGCTGTGAAAGCACTGATAATCCCCCAGAGATTCGCATACATTCAGCAGTGAATAGCGTGCATAAGTCGGTCACCGTTACTGACGCAGGATGTGCGTTCTTATGGCTAAGTGGCTAACGTGATGCGCCGAAGGGCGAGACGTCACCCGGTCGAATTCGTGAGTCGGAAAACATTTTCTCTGAATGATTTTTCTCTGAATGATAACTGCGAGGCACGCTATTGAGTGACTGTGGTCACTTTGCATTTTTTAACCTGCTGAACATGCATTGTCTGGCTGTTCCATCTCGTCGTAGTGCGAATGCCGTGGCCGATAATCAAATCCATCTTCGAAGAAGCAGCGCGACACCCTAACAAACCAAATCCAGGCGTGTATGCTGGAGCGCAGGCACCGTTGGTGATTCTACTGACAAAAAAAGTATTATTTTTCATTGTTTTACCAGAAAAATTATTGATGCTGCTTTCGTCATTTAGTTTGTGCGTTATGCAACCAAAAGGTGAACGCTTGCAGCGAAACGGCGTTCGAAGCGAGTTTGTGTTATGTACAAGCGCGCCACAGCAAGATTCGAAGAGTCCATGCCCTGACGTCATGATAGCCTCCCACCAGGCGGCGCCCCTCCAACTTCTCGGGGCTAAGTAAAAATTGGGGAACCCTTAGGCTTTACCTTTAGAAGTTGAACACAATAGCGAGCTCCGGTTCCTATTGCACCCTTGAACCACTAAGTGCATACTTATATGTTTTGTTACGCCCACAAGCACACACAAACACGACGTATGTATAGTAATGCGTTGACTGTGCAGCGTGGCCACTTCCCTCTGCTAGAACGGCGCTCTACTGCAATCGAGACACGTCTTTCTCGATGTCTCACTGATGGCACACAGACACACACACGTGGGCACGCAAATGGTACATACAGGTTTTTGATCTAAAGCAATAGTCGCATGGCCTCCAAGATACACACTACGCGCTTGCTATCACATAGGCCATAAAGAATCTCGCAATGTCTCACAGATGGCAGCACATTATCTAGCGTTTGCTGTTTGCTTGATAAACTCCTCTAAAAAGGCATGATAATTTTCCCGCTAGATAGACATATTTGTCTCTTTTTAGAGCTGTTTGAAAATTCCTGTGTGTTTTTAGCCTCGATGGCTGCACTATCCCGGCCTTTTTGACGTAGTTTGATGGCTTCCAAAATACAACCACAAATTGCTGAATGGACTCGTTTTTGTCGAACAAAATGCGTTCAGGAGACTCTCTGAAACATGACATTTAGGTAGCGTTTTTTTTTTCACCGAGGCAGCTGCAAGTAGTATCGTAGCTTTGTGTTAGGACACCTGCTTGCCACGCGAACTGCCCGGTTTTGATGCTCAATGGGTCCAAAAATTTTATTCCTTGTTTTATTTGCTTTTTTTTATTTTTCGCTCACAGGCAATTTTTCGCTCACAACCAACGGTGCTGACGCCAACGGCGAAATTTCCGCCACACGAGCTATGTAACGCTATCGCGTTATAGGTAGCCAGCTCTCATTTAGTCCTTGGAATGTGCGCTGGATGGTAGTCTTTGTATATGATGAATAGTATATAATGAAAAGATGCGAGATAGCGGAACTTGGAGTGTTCAATAAATAAACAGACGGACAGAGGGAAGGACGGACAGACGGAAGGACGAACAGAAGCACGAACGGACGCAAGCACGGACTGTCAGGTGCTTCATCATTTCACTCATCTTTTTCACTCAGGTGCTTCATCATTCCACTCATCATTTCACTCCGTGGATATGCTGTGATTTTTTTATTTTTTTTTTGTGGCGCTCTTCTGTTATGTTCATGCGTTGCTTCTTTCGGGCCCCACCATGTTGGTCTTGTGGCTAAGGTACTCGGCTGTTGACCCGCAGGTCGCGGGATCAAATCCCGGTGGCGCTGCAGCTGCATTTTCGATGGAGCGAACACGCTCTAGACCCAAGTTGCTCAGTTTTGGGTGCAAGTTAAAGAGCCCCAGGGGGTGATTTCTGGAGCCCTCCACTATGGGGTCGCTCATAATCTTATGGTGGGTTTGGGTTGTTAAACCCCACATATTAATCAATTGCTTTTTTTGAGAACAGACGTACTACGCAATTTCAAAGATGCCTGAGGCTAAACTAATTAGCTCAGGAAATCAGCACTGCGTCGCGCCTGCACTACAAGACAACGTAGTTTCTATGAAGGCGTTTTCCAGCGTGCGTTGTGCCCATGCATGACCAGCCTTTATAATCGCACAGAAAAAAAAGCATGAATCATCGTTTAACGATTCAAGTTTACTTCAGAAGTATAACGCTGCAATTGTTTTGCCAACGTAACGTTATCTTAAACATATATTTAGGATCCTAAGTTGACGGGCAGCCCAGGAGTACGTTCAACGCATAAGCTTGCGTTGCGAAATACGTGTTTTGCAGCTGCCATCCGGATGATTTTTTAAACGGGCAAAAGTCTAATGTTCTCGTCAATTTTTGGCACAATAGTAACGTCTGTTGACTTCAGTAGGAAACACTCTTAGGCTAATTAGTTCTACATTTAGACAAATATGAATTAGCACACATGTAGACACACTCAAAACACGAGGCAGGCAAGCACCGGCGCTAGTGTTGGTCAATATGTAGCGACTGTCCTTGTTTGTCTCGTATTGGCACGTCCATTTTTATTTACAGTAATGTAATATTGTTATAAGGTCTATCAACTGCTCGCGACTGGATCTCTAAAAAATTAGAATTTGCACGGGCCGAAAGTTCCGACAACAATTGGTGCTCAGTCCCCTCTTACGAAGGAGCTAGCAGGTGATTCTGCGACTGCGCCCAACTCAAGACGACAGACGCGCCTAGTGTTGCCGGAGCACAAATGGTTTTGAATGTACTCTGTTTGGCATGAATTAAACAATGAGCTTGTGAAAAAGGCAAACATAGTAACCCAGTACTCACGACAATGGGATCCGCGGTGAAAGCGTAATTTTGCACTTGCAGCAGCAAGAATAGCCAGTGTTTAGTCAAGTCTTCGTGGATTTTCGTGAAGTATTCTTTCGCATTCGGTCCCGTCGCGAGCAGTGGCAGCAGGTACAGGCACATTATAACAAAGAACATGGGTACCGTTGTCCTGAAACAATGTACCACTCAATTTAGGTTGCCATATATTTACTACAGGCGGGGGGGGGGGGGGGTACCTAGTAACGTATTCTTACCACAACAGCTTCATGAATTAACGCGTTAGTCGTCTGACCATTTAGGAAATTGCTACGTTTTAATTTTTGTCTTGTTCGTGTCATTAGCCGCTATCAGAGGGACACAGGAACACACACACACAGCGCTCTTGTGTCAAAATCAGTCTGTTTGTCTGTATGCAATTTGGAAAAGGAGGGTTGATGATATGACGAACTTGGCTGGCACGTGACAACTTGAATCGCATGGCATGTTTGTCACATGCGTAATGGAACTTTCTCAGATTTACGTGAGGCATATACCTGCATACGACGGCCTATTGTATGCGAGTATTTGCCACAGGTGTTTGACACACTCTATATACAAACTCATAAACGCGAGAATAAACAATGAAAACTTGAAAAAGACACCTGGCGAGGATAGTTATCTTACAAACGCATGGCTATGACTGAACAAGCTATAGTCTAGCGTTGTTAGTTCTCGAATGAATACATTAATTACGCTATTTACACTTTATTTGAATATAAACGACGGCTGTGCTTTAACGAGAGTGCCGGCGTTACGTCAGAAAATAAGTTACACTTTAGACGAGAGTGCTAATGTTTCTCTGGTCACCAATGCTAGAACACATATCACATAACGATCACATGCACACGCAACGCCATGCTATGTCACCTTCATGTACGGTAAAATTCCTTGTTGAGCTCGAGCCTAACAATAAATGCTGCTTCGACATTCAAGGCGTCACCATCAGGCAAAACTATTGTTTCAATTTGCGACTAGGTTTTCCTCAACGGAAAAGCTGATAACCCTTCAATATTACACCCAACGCACGTTAGCGTGCCAATTTAGTAGAATTTAGTGAATTAAACGTGGTTGGTGTATGAAAGGGGCCTTGCTTGTAGTTATTAATGCCCCGTGTACACTATACACTGCATTTCACACATTCATACTGATGGCCTAGTCTATGACACCTGATAGCTTAGACAACACTAGAGTGACATACAGTGAGAAAATATCAAAGAGAACACTTCCGGAAGCGTCATTTGGGCAAGCTCGCTCAGTTTGACAATCCGACCGATATTTCGGTACTAAGTAATGATTACAGCTTGATACTCCAATAATAAAAACAGCCATTTCATCGCATTAACTTATAAGGCGCATTGGATTATATGGCTTCATTGCCAACTGGATGTTTCCGCTAGTTGCTGATGGGGATGTGCAATACTCTAAGACGTTAAGTAATAAGTTATCCAAAAACAGTTAAGGAAAAGAAATCTGGTCTACATTCAACATATTTCGGGAACCTTATTGTCAATTTCAGACAAGTTTTCTCAATAAATATTGAAAATTTCAATATTGACAAAAACTGAAGCCGCTACGCACTAATGATGTGAAGACTGGGGAAGTGGTGGAGCTGGTGGCCTCGCCCTGCTCCTTTCTCTCCTCTTCACTATCACTTCTCTTTCCAATCCTTTGATATATTATACAAAAATATGATATGTTGCAATCACTCACCTGCTCTATTCACACCTCGTTTCCCTCCCTTATGTTCCCTCGCTATATCTGGCTATGCTTGCTTTTTGTTTTTAGGGGCGAAACTCCTTAGGCAGGTGGTCGTTCCCTCCTCTGTAGTAGGAGTAGTATGTAGCCACATCTAGTTTATGGGTTGCTGAATAGATGGCATTGTGTGTATATGCCCTGGGCAATAATATAACTAGATGGCGTTAGTGTATTTCAAAGCATATCCACGGAGTGAATGATAATGAGTGGGGTGAAGCCTTCATCCATGCTTCAATCCGCGTTTCCGTCCGTGCTTCGGTCCGGGCTTCCATTCGTCCATCCGTCCGTCCGCGAGTCCTTCCGTGAATCTATCCGTGCATCTGTTGGTCTGTCTGGACGCATGACGGTTGGACACACGAATGGACGGACGGATGGTCGCTTTGCCACACTCCTCATCATTCACTCCATGGAAACGCTGGGATTTTTTTCTTTTCTGTCTGTTGTTGTGTGTCTTTCTATGTTTTTCTTCCTTTCTTTTCTCTTCCTTTCTTTTTTTATATACTCGTGAACTTCCCTTTCTATATATTCATCTCTTTTTTTCTGTTTTTCTGGTCTTGTTCTCTCGTTCATCAAAGTTTTTGCATTCCATGCTGAGCAAACCAACGCACCACTTAAGGAAACGAAGCAGAAGAACCAGAAAAAGAGGTTGACATTTCGAGCAAAAAAAGTATTTTGCACAAAGTAACACACAAAAAGACAGAGAGCACAACACTGGCGCCAACTTACAACGCAAGTCCCATGCTCATTGTCCATGTGTTACTTTGGGCTAAATAATTCTTCTCCTTCGGATGTCCTGGATCAACTAACTCAAGCAAACATTTTGCTAAGCAAGTCGAACAGGGCGCGCACTGGTTCATAAGTTTTCAGGTCAAGCCTTGTGGCTTAACAAAAATATTAACAGCTGCACTGTAAAACCTTTGTTAACAATTCAGATTTTGCAGTAGAGTTTTATTCAATACAAAGTCTTTAATTATAAAAGCAAAACTAATAGGCGTGATTACTCTCTTCTCATATCGTTAAAATTGAACCTTGGTTAGATTTTTGTTTGCTGCAGAAATTATTGATATGAAATTGCCGAAGTAATGTGGACCACAACTTCTCCGCAGCAAAACATTTACAACAGAACAACAGAAGTAGCTCCATTATGTCTGTTCGGACATCTTATCTTGATATTCGTATATTCGTACTTTTTATTTAAAGACTGCAGCGAGGTAGACGGCTGGGCTAATTGGTAAGGTTTCGTTTTGTTTAGAACAGCTCAAAACTGCAGAGAACAAGGAGACACAACAAGCGCTTACTCGCAACTGAAACGACGGTTATAGAAAACCTAAAGAGAATACATAAAAATAAGTAAGCTGTACGGAACTGCGCAGTGGCCGACAAATAGAAAATTTGCCAACTTTGCAAAAAGGCAACAAGGCAACAAAGAAAATAGTTCAATAAACAAAATCAAGATCTTAACGTCAGAAAAGTAATAAATAGGAATTATAACATATCTTCCAAAAACTTCAAAATATCAACAAACTGAATATATCTATTTGTCCAACATGCGGTGCTCTTTATGAAATCCTTGTTCTCCGATGGGTTGTACACATGCTGCATATGGTCTTAAAAAAGACAAAAATAATTTTAATGACAACAATCGTTCACGTTTAGTTACTCACTGCAAGTATTGTAAATACACACGTCTTTTGTATAAGATGACAACTATGTGTGGGCCCAGAGATGACACGGCACCCGAAATTATGGAAACCATATTTATTAGGAATGCCGCTGAAAGTTGTCACCTCTCCTTCAGTGGCACTATCTCATTGCGAAACCAGTTCTTGGGAGGTCGGGTTGATCGATAATTTTTGCTTCTTTGGTGCTTTCGAGAATTTTGACGGTATTCGGTTACACGTGTTTGCTATTTTGGGTGTTTTTTTCGGGTGTCAATACGTTACACTTGTTTATTGAAATTTTAGTTTTCTTTTACCTATTTGTAAGCTTCCTACGTGATGGTGACTGCGAGGGTTGTTTGAGTTCACGTGTTTTTGTGTTTTTTTTTTACATTTCATCTGAGAAATGCTTCACTTGCGAGTAAGCGCTTCCTGTGTCTTCTTCTTAAACCTTGATTTGTTTTGGTTTTTTTGCACTGCTTTAAAAATATTATCTGAATACACCGTACATAAATTTTCCGTAAAAGAGCCACCTGACTTGACTAATAAATGATATTGATAGCCGTCATGCATCCAAACTTTCTGCAATACCTACGAGTACTCAGGGCAAGCACAGCAGCTACAAGGACTACTTGTAGTTACTTCGTATTTGAGCATGGTGCAAAAGTATTCACCGTACAGGCAGCGCGCGAAGAAAAAAAGGGGTATGTGGGTCACCCTATTTGTCTTGGTTTGCCGTCTCTTGTAGTATTCCATAAAAATTCGCGGCAAAAACAAATATATAGTCTTCAATTGTCAACTAGCAATGTTATATATGCACTCACCTGATATATTTCTTCACGACTTCAAAAAGAAAAATAGTAACTCTTGTTCCCTTGTGTTGGCACACGGTGAAAGCTAGAACAAATCCACTGAAATGAAGAAATTTGGAAGGCATTTAGTAGTAAGGCCTTGTTTCACGAAGGATGAAGTGTCTTGCTGAGATAGAGACTACTATTTGTTCGTAGGTATAACACACCACTTGCTGTTTAGTTTTGCACTACATGTTGCGACACTTCACATGTGTTGCCTTTAGGCATTATTTGCACATAAATAATTACGATGTGCTATAGGTACATTGAAGGAAGGATATGTATAATTAGGTAAGAGATACAAAGCAAAAGGGCTCAGGCAAAGAGAACAATGTTCATAAATTTATCCATGCACATTTAAAGTCTGTCTCGAAAAGATTCGGTTCTTCAGAAGTTTTGCAGAAATAATTATTGATGCCCAAAATGGTCCCACTGCTTCCATGAAAATATCTCGAGGAAGATGCCTTACCTACGGTGATACATGATGCGGGTATCAAGCATAATATACCAAGCCGAGATCTCAAGTACCAAGTCCAGTCATTATGTATCGTACCTCAAAAAGCGGTTGATCGGCATATGTATGCTATTTATAAAAGTCCTGCACATGGAACACTTGGGGAAACGTCATTTAGTGCAATGCTGCTGCTGTACAGGGTATTTTTTCTTGGCTTCTTGCACTACAGCTTTCCTGCAATAACCAACACAACTAAAACAAGCCTTTCAATATTACAAAGTGTGCAGGCCCAAGCACTACGGATTTGCCTAGGCCTGCCTGTTTGCGCGTCGACGGCGGCTTTTATAGCAATCACTGGAGACCACCTCGTCGAGACACACACTGACGTTGAAACACTCGGGACACACATGAGACAACTTGTTCGAACTCCCCGCCAACTCCTAGCCTCTTTACCAGCAGACAGACCATGCACCTCTTTTTGCCAAATGGTAGCTGCGTCTCGCGAGTATTCGCAAATATGCTTCTCAACCACCGCCAGACCTTAAATCTCTCCGAGGTGCTTGACTCTTCCTAGCATGAGCCTAGTGATACCTGGCATTCGTAAAAAAGCAGACACGTTTTTACCCGTTTTTAAACAGCTTGCCTTGCTCCAGCTGTTTAAAAAGTACCAAGGCTCGATGCACGTATACACCATCGGCTCTATTATGTCGAACAGCTCAACCGCAGCCGTCGTAATACCTGTGAAGGCCCGAACAATCAAGTTTAAGACGTTTCACCCGACGACATCTACAGCAGCAGCAGAGCACGCGGCAATACGTGTAGCATTACATTTCCTTATTGATGAACAGGCACAAAAATGAGTGATCTTCAGTGACTCCAAGGTGGCACTGCAATCCCCACGGTCACCACTACGCTGCGGCCCGCACGAGCAGCTGGTATTTGAGAATGCAGAAGATGCCCACCGCTTATTAAAAAACAGACGTGAAATACCTAGTCAATATGGCTCTCTAATTACTGGTAATAGTCGCCCATGAACGGGCCAATTAGGCTGCCCATTCATCTCATACAGAATACAATCAGATACCAATAACACTCGCGAGGGGTGACGCTGCAGGATAGCTCCGCGTGCTTGCTCGCCAGTGCACCACGTCACTGTAGAATGAGCCACACTTCAAGCAAGCACGGTTGTATAATTTGATCGAACCCTCAGTCTTTTAATTCCCCGAGAACTTCACCGATGGGACGCTACGCTTTTTTGTAGGTATGTATGTTTGGATGGCACATTTACGCACGCGTACGCACTTCGCATAGGGATGGCCCACACCTCAACATGTGAAAACTGTGGCAGTGTTGAAACAATTGAACATATTGTGCGCGAGTGCCCATAGTATTGTTAAAAAGGCAGGTGCTTTGCACTACGTTTGATGAACTAGACGATTGAACTCTTTCCGAAGAACGAATCGTGCGTTATCGACCGGAGCTAACGTCTGAAAAAAAAAGGCTGTGCAAGCGCTACGGTGCTTCTTGCGTACAAATTGCCTCTCAGAACGTCTTTGATGTGATCGCACTGCGTGTGTGTCCGTGTGTGTGTAAATGTGTTTTTTTTTCGCTTTTATTTATCTAATTTTGTCTTCCGTATAGCCCCTGGTTCCCCACCCCTACGCAGGGTAGCGAACTGGTTACTTCCCAATGTTTTGATTTCATCTATCTCTCTTTTTCTATCACCTTTCAACGCCCATGACGCGCGATTCTACATATTTTCGTTCCTTTTAGTATCGCACAAATTTCTCAAAAGAGCACTTATGCAGTATCTGCGAACAGTAAACTTTTTAAAAGTTTTTGAATGTTCTAGAAACAAGTGTGAAAGATACACATTATTTTTCAGTAGAGAGAACAAAATCGTGCAAGAAGTATGCAAGTGTTCCAATTATATAACTCCACATTTACACATATCCTAACCACCATGCAGCAGCAAAACAAGACCTCTGCGTTTAGAAACCACACTGTTATAGTGTGATATCAACGCGTATACGTACGTCAGAAAGAAGAGACTGTCGAAGCCCATGCTTCCCAATCCTGCGAACACACTCGTCCAGCCATCAGCGTATAATATTACGTTGACCATGCGGGCTGCAAACAAAACGTAACACAATGGGTTGATATTTCTGGCTGTCTGTTGTTCGTCGTCAATTCGTCTGTCTGTCAACCGAAAACATTTATGTACTAGGTTGAAGTTCAACCCCTTCCTTTACGCCCACCGATATTTATCTTGATTCTGCGTTTATATTTGGGCTCAATGTCGAATAAAAAAAAATATTTCGCATATTTCAGGCAAAATATCAACACGTCAATATTTCATGGCTTGTTTATTTATACTAGAAAAGGCACACAAAAGCAATTACAAGAACCATGGCGTTTATTACGCTGCGCTGACAATGTGAGGAAAGCGTAGAAAATAGCCGCTTTTTCGTGCATAGCTAAGATGGATATAATGCTGCCACCTATCCGTGGCTTTGCATTCTACAAATTATGGCCTCGGAGATGGCATGGGCTTGCTGAATATTGCAGTCAATTCTTTCGTTTTTTTTAAGATTATGGTCAGATGGCGCTCATGTCTTATTCAGCGCCCCCAGAATACTATTCAGCATTTTTTTCGAGCACAACATAAAAAAAAGGTTAATTCACTCTCTACAAAATATCACCTTTCAACGACGTTAGCAGTGAAACGTGTAAATACGTAGACAATTTTTTTTTCATCCAGCTCTTTCTACAACACGGTTTTTGTTACACTTCGTGTTATTACCATCTCTCAAAGACATTACCATTCCTTTAATTTATGACTGCTCTTTCTGTTATCAAATAAAGGTGCTTCATCTTTTTTTATTTTTTTATTGGTCAGTCTGACTGGTGAACATTCCATCTATATTCGTCCAAGCAAACCCATGAACCATGAATTGTCGTAGAAATTCACAGTACTAACGCCAAGCATGGTACACAACGAAGCAGTCATCTGCGGCAAAAGGTGAACAAGGAGATTGCAGATTTATCTTATTTAAGAGACTTGAAAGCAAAATGCACAAGAATTAGCCATCTCATTTCATATGACTGCCTCTCTCCAAACAAAATACCTTGCTTATAATTACACCAATATTTATGAAGAACCATACCAATGCGCGAAAATTGTGACAATTTTCCTGCAAAGACAAAAAATTGTATAAAAACAAATGCCAATGTTACATGCAGTAAGCCTAGCAGCTCAACATTTGCAGCACGCTGCTCAAACAAAATGATTGATATGTGGGGTTTAACGTCCCAAAACCACCATATGATTATGAGAGCGCCGTAGTGGAGGGCTCCGGAAATTTCGACCACCTGGGGTTCTTTAACGTACACCCAAATCTGAGCACACGGGCCTCTGCTCAAACAAATGGAAGCAGCACTAAATGTACACACGTATACACACGACGAGCGCGAAGTAACTGTGACAGCTGTTGGTTCCCGATGGTTGGTTGTATAGCTGTGTACTAAATAGTGACAACAGAAGTGTAGACGTGCAGATGTAACGTACAAACAACTGTGACAGTTGCTAGTTCTCACTAGTTATGTGCATATATGTATGCTCATTTCGTCCGTCCTTCTTACTGTCTGAGCGCGCACTGCAACAGTCGATCACGCGCAACCAATGAAAAGCTCTCAGCTTGGCTCTTCTATTTATAGCAGCTCACTCCTTTTGCAAACATGACCACTGTCAATTGAAGTGACATTCGTGTGGTCTATAATTTCAAGGCAGACTTTACGGCGAAACCACAACGCATAAAAACATTTCCTCGCAAGAGATAAGTGCACGAGAACGGTTGACCCTGCATAGGTCAGAGTACAGGGCAGAGACGCACATCCCTAAATTCTGTAGAAATATGTTCAAGGTAAAGGAGTTTATTACGAGTTTTTTGTGCCATCTTACGACCACCCTCGGCCACGCTGACGCCCGTCAGAGTTCTGCGTGTAGCGTCAGTATGCTGGAGAAGGCATATTGCGTGGCGGAGTTGTTTGATGCATCGCGCTGCGGAGCCATAAGTCGCAGGGTTGAATCTGTGGCAGCGCACATAAAAGTGTTCTATACTTGTACTTACCGGCACTGTGATGCCAGGACAAAAACCAGTAGGGAGTGTGTGTGTAATTGCCATCGCAATAAAAAAAAGTTGGCTCTGTATCTGCATGTTACACCGCAAATGTCATCGGAAGACGATAGTCTTGCGTCTGGAGAGAGTGAACGAAACGTTTATTTGATGTTCTGCGCGAGAAAATTGCCGAACGGTATTCTGCAAGCGCTGTGTTAGAGTGCCTCGAGTGTGAAGCGAAGGCGAATGAGCGCATCAAGTAACGTCACACGTGAGACATGAGCGTCATCTGGCAGTTATCCGGGAAAACGAGGTGCGTGCGGTGCGCGCCTGTCTCTGAGGTGATAAGGTGTAGAACGCAAAGCGACGGGTAGATGCCCCTACCGTGTCGTCTTAGCAAAGCGTTGGAAACACTTGCGTATCGTGCAAGCGTTATAAAGGCTACAATCCTTAAAATTATTTATGTATGCCTTTTGAAGTAAAAAATACACATACGTAATATTTACATGTTGTTATGGTGCCTCATATATGCACAATAATTGTTTTAAAGACGATATTCTTTCTTGGGGACCTTAAACGCCGAAATTTTGCGCTGTCTGTGTCTGTCTGTCTGTCTGTCTGTCTGTACGTTTGTCTGTTTTTGCACTCTTACCGGCATCCAATACTTGAAACGGCCGACCCCATCCGCAGCGACCACCAATATTACTCAAGGTTGAGCGTTCATGCTTGCGCAATTGTCAATTAAAAAGCAATTGTTGCGCATGTATGGGGCACCATAACAACACGCATACATTCTGCTTATGCATCTCTTACTAGAAAACGCATACATAAGTCATTTTAAGGACCGTAGCGCTCATCTTTCTGCGCTTACCATGCAACGCTTGCATGGAATGGAAAGTGTTTCCAACGCTTTGCTAAGACGAGATGGTGGTAGCACCTACCCGTCACCTCGAGTTCTACACCCTATCACATCTGATACGGGCGCACACGGCCACGCGCTTTGTTTTCCAAAAGAAACTGCCTGATGGCGCTCATGGCTCACGTGTGACATGACTTGATGCGCTCGTGAGCCTCCGCAGCCCGCTCGAGGTACTTTAACGCAGCGCCTCCGTAGTACCATTCACCGATTTTCTGGCGCAGAAAATAAAATAAATTATTTGTTCACTCTCTCCACACGCAAGACCATCGTCTTTTGACGACATTAGCAGATTACGTGCATATACGGGGCCAATTTTTTTAATTGACAATCGCACAAGTATGAACGCTGAACTTCCAGCAATATTGGTGGGTGCTGCGGATCGGGTCGGCCGTTTAGAGTTTCGTTTGGTCACTTTGGTGCCGCTTAAGGTACCGTTAAGGGTGTACAAACAGAGAAACGTACAGACCTGAATTTTCGCGTAGAAGGTCTTTAAGAAAGACTATAGTCGTTAAAAAACTAGCAGGAAAACACACTGATACTTGGTGCAATACCCCAGCGCTGATGTGAAGCGGCTGAGTGCGAGGTCGTGGCTTCGCCAGACGCAAGACGCAAAATGCGAAAATATTCGCATATAAGATTTTGCAGGTACAATAGTATACTAGTCACTTCTCCATTCACAGATCGAGGTACCATGGCTGCACATTTCACGAATTCGCTTAATTTTTTACATGTAAAACTTGAATAATAACTGTTCATCTATATGAAGCACTGGCTGAATACTCAGCGAAATTCCGTAAGTGTTGTTGAAAGGAAAGGAGAAGTTGTAAAATTAGCGCAATCGAAGTGTGAGGACGATGTTTTATTTAGAGTAATAGGCAGTACATTCATGAGGTGTGACAAAAATTTATCCAAACAATTATTATAAATTGAACTTTACTGTAAGAATTCATGAACCATTTCAAACTCTGAACGTGGATGACCCACAGTGAAGGTGGCCCATATTTTTGATGAAGTCTATAAAAACGCGAAACACTTCCGAGGATAGCATACTCTTCTTTATTGCTCTTTTATCTAGGTTTAAGAGGGCCAAAAGTGCAGTTCAAAGTTCATTATAACTTTTTTACTCATACATTTATTTATATTTTTTTTCGTATGAATGCTTCTTTAGTACCATGTGTGTTGTTTTGCCAATGCACCATTGGCGAGTAGTAGGGTTCATCGACTTTATGTGGCACCTACTTGCTAAAAGGTTTCTATGGAGTACGTAACTGTTGGCAAATTATCTGTTTGCGCAGTCATGAATCGCCTAATGTTATACAGCTTCGCTATAAAAACACTTGCAACTGCATCTGCCGCACTGATGCACGAAGGTAACATTACTCAATGTTTTTTTTCTCTCATTTCAACAAGGGATTGGTGTCCTTGCTGTTCTTGCCTTCATCGCTTAGATGGCTAGTTCTGTTTGTCTATTCTGTCTTCAGCTCCTTGACTTTTAACACCTCCGGCAGCACCAATTGCCAGCGATCTATCGAAGCGTACGAATACGAAGGCCCCTTAGTATTTTATAGTAATCACGTGCGCCTTCTAAGTGCCGCATTTGGAACGAAAAACAAACAGCGACACCACAGAAGATGCTCAAAAAGGGAGGAGAGCGAGTACGAGTCTTGTGTTTTCTACCCCTCGAGGAAAACAGCCACGTGCTGGCGCGTTGCCCGCTTGCAGAAACCTTATAGCTGGTTTTTATAGGCGCAAAACCGTGCCAGAAAGCGAGACAAGTCAACAAGCAAACACCCCTTCGTAATTGATGCTTCGCATATAGCGATAATGCCTACTTGGTGCTTACCTCCCTAGGCGAAGGACAGTTCACTCGCCTCAGGTCGATACGTTTGTATTTTGCACAGTTTTGTTATGTTTTCCCTTGTTTATCACAGACATGTGGCTTGTACGCGTGCGCACGCGTGTATGTGCATGTGTGTGGGCGTGTGCGTGTGCAGGGTGCAGTGTGTACCAATGCTCAGTGAAGCCTGAAGTTCTCTGAAAATGCACTGCAGTTCGCCCCACCATGGTGCTCTAGCGACTAAGGTATACTCGCCTGCTGACCCGCAGGTCGCGAGATCGAATCCCGGCTGCGACGGTTGCATTTACGATGGAGGCGAAAATGCTGTAGGCACGTGTGCTCACACTTGGGCGCGCGTTAAAGAACCAAAGGTGGTCGAAATTTCTGGAGCCCTTCACTACGGCGTCTCTTATAATCATGTGGTGGTTTTGGGACGTCAAGCTCCACATATCAATCAATCAATCAATCAATCAATCAATCAATCAATCAATGCACTTCAGTTTATTATATGAATAATGCTCTTACCACCTGAAGCAAAATATATTTTGGACTTACGTACACCACACGTGCGAGTTTGAGACGTAGCAGTGTCCCACTACCACCCATATTAGACTGATGAATCTGATGCCATGCAGAAATCCCTGGCTGGGCCCTTCAGACCTTTCTTCTTTCGCTGTTTTAAATATGGCTCGAGTGTTAGTCACCAAGGAGAAAGACCTCAGGGCAGTGACTAAAATATCTGAAAAAAAAAAAACGAAATGCGTCAAGAGGGAGTCTGAATATCTTATTGACAAACTTCTTATTATTATCATAATAAAAGTGCATCATGGAAGCCCTAATTCATGTATGTGTAAAGTGGGTTACTGTTGTCCAAGCAATTACTAAGTAATTCCTAAGCTATAGTCTAGTATGCGAAAATGTAAGCTTCACAAATATATGAAAATAGTACATATTACGGTGAAATACAATAAATTATAGGCTAGAGTGGAATACTTTACCCGGATTAACTTACGTCAGTTATCTTTTCGGACACTATCATGAATATGCATAAGCTGAAATAATATTAAAGACCTCGTTTAAGTTCAGAGACACTTCTTTTGTTTTAATGAAACATACATAACATAAGTTTATAACAAAAGTGTTCGCTCTTTGGTTCAATAAACAACTGCAATGCCTCCACGAGTTCAAAGAGATATTTTTGAAGAATGCCGATTCAGGAAGACAGAGATTTTGTGTCATGGTTTAGACGCAAACAATGTGGCAAAAATATTTTTCGCTAATTATATTCCCATACCAACACTTTCACAGCCGTGATTTATTATCACTATCGAAGGCAATCCTCAACAATTATAGCATATTATAAACGCCTGCCTATGCCGTGACGAAATCTTATGCAATTGTGACGGCGACGTAGTTCCCGAAGATCAGTGTGTGCATTTACTGAACGACGCATTTAGTTGCACCTTAACCTGAACAGATGTCAGTGCATGCTTGGGAGGACCTGCCCAAAATTACACCGACATCTCTGAATTTGTAAATAACAACTGCTCGTTACTACCTTTTACACATACTGAAAAGTTCATCAACGTCGGATCACATCAAACGAAAATATTAAAATACTCAATACCACGTTCTTTATTGAGTACTATCTGGAATATTCATTCGTTTACTTGCCACTAGTTTTAACCCTCAAAACAGGTGAATATTTGCGCCTAAAAATGCAATGAACGTTCATTACCACTTAATTAGTAGGAATGATAATTGAGCAGCATTCATTGCAAACATAACCGATACATTATTCATTCGCAAGTTATCACATTTCTTGAAGATCATAATTGAATTTTCAAAAATATTCGCAGATCCCACCTACAGTGGGAATCGATTATATGTGAAGCACGAATGAGGAAAGTTTATATGTCACTTTCACATTAGCACAACGTTACGAGGTGGGCGTAAATTATGCCGTACATCACTTCCATGTCATGATTATTATGTTTGGATGTGTAATATACTTTCGTAGTTTATTCAAGTCACGTGATGTCGAATTCGATATATGAAGAGCTAGTGAAACGGCCGCCAGCACGCTATGACCTTAGCATGCAGTCATGTTTCACTTGACACGCATGTCATGATTATCATGTTCGGACTTGCCATTTACCTTCATCGTCTAATCAAGTCACGTAATACCAAACGTCGTACATGTGGAGCTAGCGAAACCACCGCGAGTGCGCTATGAGCGTATCATGTAGTCAAGTTTTCGATGACACGCATATCATGATTATCATGTTTCGACGTGTCATTTACCTTCGTCGTCCATTCACGTCAAGTAATACCAAATTTTGTATATGTCAAGCTAGCGAAGTGGCCGCGAGCACATAATGAGCGCGGTATGTTGTGATGTTCTTAGATGACACGCAGATTATGATTATCATGTTTGCTACAGTCATATTCTTTCACAATTAATTTACGTCACGTAACACTAAATATTGTATATATGAAGATTGCGAAAAGGCCACGAGCGCACAATGAGCGTCTCATGTAGTCATGTTTGACATCAAGCGCTTGTCATGATTATCAAGTTTGGACGTGTTATTTACCTTCGTCGTCCGTTCGCGTCCTGTAATACCAAATTTGGCATATGTGAAGCTATCTAAAACGTCCGCGAGCGCATCATGAGCGTGGCGTATAGTCATGACTTATGTCACATGCATGTAATGATTTCCACGTTGGGGTCTGTAAATTATCCTCGTCATACAGTCATGTTATTCCATACCACCTTTGGTATTGGTACCAGTATCAAAACGGCCAGGAGAGCTGAAAGTCGTAGGCGGATAGATAGATAGATAGATAGATAGATAGATAGATAGATAGATAGATAGATAGATAGATAGATAGATAGATAGATAGATAGATAGATAGATAGATAGATAGATAGAGAGATAGATAGATAGATAGATAGATAGATAGATAGATAGATAGATAGATAGATAGATAGATAGATAGATAGATAGATAGATAGATAGATAGATAGATAGATAGATAGATAGATAGATAGATAGATAGATAGATAGATAGATAGATAGATAGATAGATAGATAGATAGATAGATAGACGGACGGACGATTGGACTGACGGATGGATACGGGCAAAATCACTGAAGTTCCCTCAGAAATTATCTACACTACACAACTTTTTCCTTACCCTACGTTTTCTCCTGCACCTAGAAATACAGTCGTGTAACAATGATAACGTATTGACAAGGTACCCTGTATACGACGTCCAGGAGTATGGGGCGCCTCCAGAATCAGCTCTACTTTAATCATGCGACAATGAGATGGGTTAACTTCATCAATGGGCGTCAAGTTGTGATGCCACACTGACGTCACAATTACTTCATCATGACATCAAAAATTACCATGGTATTCCATGCCACAATGACATGATGAGGCATCAATTTATGATGATGTTTTGTGACACTCGCGTTGATGTCCACCATCACTTTTTGTGTATGATGGGGCATATGAAGCTTTCGCCTTAACAACTGCAGCCGACAACAGTCACAAAATTTAAAATCACTTACATGCAACGATTACATGGTTGCTGACAGAGAGGGAGAAAAAAATATGCAGAGAAATGAAAACTACAAATTTAGCAGAACCATGTTAGACGTATTATCTTTCGTCTTTTGTGCGGTTTACAATGGTGTAAAGACAGTTTTAATTGGGTTGTCTCCAAAATAATAACGTTTGGATATGTCGCATGAATCTTCTACGCTTGTCACTGATCACCGATGAGCGAAATGATGAAATAACCCTACATTGACACACTGGTATACCCTACACTACCGAAAAATTCTGAGAATACCTGACAAGTAGGGCAATCAGCCTACGGTTGGCAACCCTGCTATATATGCTTAACACATGGCCCAGGACTGCGCTAATCTCCTACTTTGCAAAAACTGAATTTTTGCCTCGTACACCCAGTGTCTACTATGTAACCACTTCGTAATCTTTACATCGCAACAAGACCGAGGAATGCCAGCTTACAGGAATCTGGGCGTTTTGTTTAATTGCGACTTTACGCAAAACTTGTTTGTTTACTTCTCCCTTACTACTGCTACTCTCCAATTCAGCACTACTGCAGAACAAAAGAAAAAAAGTAAAATCATTCCATAGATGACAGCGCTGTCTCCAAGACCTCATTTTTTTTAAACCTCTTTTTGTCATCTTTTACTTCACTCTTTCCTGCACAGGGTAGCCAGCCGGTCTGAGAACTGGCTAACCTCGCTGTCCTTCCTTTCCTCCTCTCCTCCTCCTCCTTAGCACCACTGAACGCAACTTATTTCATTCACCCACTAAATTGCCAAAGCTTCTTTATATACACCGACAATCCACCGAAATCTCTATGATAGGTTAGATACATTGTTACTGCAAAATTGGCGACACGTTAGTGGGAGTTGACTATGTGTGTTTTATCAATTGTTCTTCGTTCTTAATGAGTCGTCCCCAGTATTTTTAGCATTGACGTAGTTTAGGTATGTTTTCAGTGCGTCACACATTTTTAATGGTTATTGAGTCAGTACTCTGCTCAGAAAGTTTTGTTCATTAAAGGTCATTTTTTTAGGGGCGAAGCTCTTTAAGGCATGGGTCAGCCCATCCTCCATTGTTGTCGTACGTAGCCACCCGGATGAGAGATGGCGATACTTGGAGTGTTCACTAGATGAAGGCATGGACGGACGGACAGACAGACTAGACGACAGACGGACAGATGGGCGGATGTATGGATGGATGGATGGACGGACGGTCAGATGAATGGACGCATGGATGAATGCGCGGACGGGTGGAAGCAAGAACGAACTGACGGACGGAAGCACGGACAGGCTGATGAAAGCTTCGCCCCGCTCATTATCATTGACTTCGTGAATATGCTGTGATTTTTTTTTGCGTTCTCTAGTTTCAAATTACTGTTATGCTAGTACGGCCTCCTCACGTAATACCCTCAAAATAGGGCCTGTAAGGCTACCGTGATAAAATGAGTAAATAAATAAATGTTGAAAAACTTAGGGGACCCTTAGGCTTCGCCATAGTGAAATCCCGCCCCTAGTGCGCCCTTCAACCGCTAAGTGCATGTTTATTATTACGTTTTATTACACACACACAGGCGCACACACAAAGGCGCACACAAACACACGCGCGCGCGCAAACGTGATGTATCTTTCGTAATGCAGTGACTGTGCAGTGGGGCCACCACTTCCCTATGCTAGAACGGTGTTCTGCTGTAGTCGACAAACAATTTTCACAATTTTCATAATGTCTCACAGATGCTACACACACACACACACACGCACACGCACACGCACGCGCGCACGCACGCACGCACGCGCTTTTTCGATGTAGTTTGATGGCCTCCCAAATGCGCTTACAAATCGCTGAATGGGCTCGTTTTCGTCGTGACACCTGTCGAACAAAATAGGTTAAGGAAACTCTTGGTGGTGGCGCGTGTCAGGTGACGTCACCACTAACCCCCTTCACCACTAACCCACTAACACGCCAAGTATGACACGGCGCCTTTGAAAAAGATATGTCCTCCAATCAAAACGTCGGCCAGCCAGTCTGAGGCACTTCACCTGTTCATCTTATGATTATCCCACTACGTTCTTTCCATTTACCGGCTCCCATCTAGATTTTAAATTTCCTCCCATTACATGGAATTTATGTAGTGTTTTACCCGAAGCAGCTACAAGTAACATCGTGGCTTTGTGGATGGACAATTGCTTGCCACGCGTACTGCCCGGGTTTGATCCTCAATGAGACAGAAAATTCTATACTTTATTTTATTTGTTAGTTTCTTGATATTTCGCTCACAACCAACAGTGCCCACGGCGGAATTTCTGCGACACAAGCTTTCTAACGCTATTGCGTTTTAATGCTGCATTGCGCGTATGAACACTGTTGAGCCTAATTCGCACTGCACTGCACCACACCTATAATTTGTCATTATAAATAAGGGCATATCCTTTTACTCGAGTGTAAACAAATACATTTCTGTGTTGCCCTAATTACAAAGTCTTGTGTATATAGGTACTCCTGACAGGTCAGCCTTCCTAAATAACATGTAGACTGTAAGGATTCACTGCGATTGATGACTCCTTTATACAACATGAACCTAGATGTTGCACCAATTGTAATAAGCTCCAGAAAGTGGAAGAGTCTTAAGCATACAAAAACTCTCACTTTTGTTGAAGTTGTATAACGTTGACAAAATCAAAAGTGCCACCAGGTCAAAGCTTGTATCCATCAACCTATTCTGACTTCCAACTAAACTATATTATAATGGGCGCTTTATATTCTTTGATATTGTCTGAAGTGGTAGTGATTAACACTGTTCAGGCTATAGTTATGAAGATGTACGCAGCCTTTGCCTGCCAGAGAGCCTTAATCAGTGACTACGTCGTTGGCTCAACTCGAGATTGTTGGTTTGACACCATGGCCACATTTCAATGTGACTATAAAAGAAAATACGTCCATACATTTGTGTGCCCAATAAAAATGAACTATTGTCAAAGGTATTTACACCACTTTTCTATGAAAGCGAGTTCGGAAGTGCCAAGACCACTCAAATCCTTTTGGTAGCGAGAAGCCGCGCTCTATTTTGCGTGCTTCCCTTGCTATAGAATAACGCCGGCTGCCCTCTTCTTAGGTTTGGTTGTCGACACTGTACAAAACAAGAAGAGAGCAGAGTGGATTAGGGAACAAATGGAGGTCAAGGAATTCATGGTTGAAATCAAGAAGAGGAAATGGACATGGGCCGGGCATGTAGCGCCTAGACAGGCTAACCGCTGGTCAGTAAGGGTAACTAACTGGATTCCCAGAGAAGGCAAGCGGGTTAGGGGGAGACAGAAGGTTAGGTGGGCAGATGAGATTAAGAAGTTTGCGGGTATAAATTGGCAGCTACAAACACAGGACCGGGTTAACTGGTGGTACATGGGAGAGGCCCTTGTCCTGCAGTGGACGTAGTCAGGCTGATGATGATGACTGTACGACAACACCACGCGGAGCTTACCTGGGCATTTTCGTGAATACTCTGGAAACGAGGGAAGTCGTTACAGTTCAAATAATAAAGCAGACACAGTTCTCTACAGGTGTAATCTCTTTACAAAATAGGTACAATGAGTGCACATAGCGTACGCACAGTCACCTGACTGAAGCCTCAATTAAACAGTCACGTAGGCACGGCATTACACAAGTAATCATAGTTGCGTGGACATAACGAAAACTTTTGGAGACTATATTTTTTAAAATGTTAAGGAAATCGGGGACTTGCGCGTGCCTTCAGCAAGGTTCACTTTTTGCTTGCGAGTTTTCGAATGTTTTATTTTAACAATTTAAATAGCTTCAAACTCTACGTTTGTCGATCTCCTCCGCAAGCAATTTCCCGCTGCTTTCATTCTTTTTTTTTATGTTACACAGTCATTGGTTAAGGCTTGCTCACATACGTGAGCGACGCCCTCTGGTGTGCATTCTTTTAAGTGCGAAACACTTTATAGGGGGCCGGGTTGTCGTATGCAGCCGTATCCTGTCATATGCGGTGGTCATCGCTTGATGTCACACCGGCTGAACCACACATAGCACTGTTGTTGTTGTTGTTGTTGTTGTTGTTGTTGTTGTTGTTGTTGTTGTTGTTGTTCTTCTATTGTTAGTGGCGCATACCCACTGTGGGGTATTGGCCAAGAATCGAGTGGTTTTAAAATTTACTGTTCAGATATCGAATGATGGAGGTATAACAGAAAGATTGCCGATAGCCTACGAAAGTGTGGTGCTTAATGTAATGCATACAAATATTTACATAAACGAATTTATTCTTAGAATAGAGCAATAATCTGATTTTACACGTATATAATTATGTGGACATGTTAGGATAGTGAAACTGGTTAATTAGTCATGCCAGCCGTAGCGCATTGAGCGTGCGCACGCCCCGAAGAGAAGTCTTCTCATTCTTGTTCTTTGAATGTCTTGGTGAAGACATTACTACTGTGGCTAGGGATGCACGACCACACAAACCACCCATAAAAATTGTCAGAAGAAGCAAGGCACAAATAGAAAAACAGAAATAAAAAAGGAAGTAAAATAGAAATAGATAGGGAAAATAAAACCCAGCAAAAGCTTGAAAAAAAAAAGAAAGAGGAGGAAAGAAAAAGAAAACGGAAGAGAAACAAAGAAGGCTGTACAGCTCCACATTTTTTTCGGGCTTGGCGCCACTAGCGTCAGGCTGCCTCAGATTTTAGTGTAATTTCTGTTTCTCTATTTCCATTCTAGTGAACTCGCTTGTATGCACACCTATGAATTACAACGTGCATAGGCTCATACCTCTAACCGCAGGCTTCGCTGCTGCAGTTAAAGCAGAAAAGTCTTTGAAGCAAAACATGCGGCCTGGTAAAACGCGAATGGGAAGAACTGTCAAACAACAATATCTGACACATCATTTTTTTTAAAGAACGCCGGTACACAAGGATCCGCATGAAGTAGGAATTATCATAAGAAATAGTGAAACTATTGTAACAAGTTGCTGCTAAGTGGCATAAAAGTGGGAATGGACCACGATGTTAAGTATTATTGAGCAACACGTTTTGTAAATTATCCTGAAATTTTGGTGGCATTATTAACTATCTAACGCAAAATGTATCGCACCTTTCATTCATGAATACATACGGCTCCACAGAAAAGAAATAAAGATGGGATGGATCGTTTTGAATTTAGGGGTGAACCTAAAGTTTGGAGGCGATATCGATATGCGCCACAGGGGGAGGGGTTGGGTTGTTGGACCATTGCTAGGTTTGAAACTACCAAATATTGCCAATTTTACGTGTGTATATCCTAGTCGCACGCATACAAACCTATATATGTACGAACATACGTGAAGTTAAGCCGCTCTTCACTCTCCACCCCCCTCCTGAACGGGAGAAAATTTCTTAGCCATGCTACCGGGAGCGGATGAACATATAGACTGGCTTGCGAGGAAAATGCGCCATTAGCCGACCCACATGCGCGGGTGAGAGCTCAGTAAGCACTAACCGAACATTGTAGCCCCACCTAGCAGCATAAATATTCCTCGTGAAAGTGCTGGATACACGTTAGTTGTGTAGCCGATAGCGGCTAGCAATTTCTAAATTGCAAACTTGAAGCTTCACGCTGCTCCTTATCCTTAGGACACGTGTGCTGTCTGACATCGAGCTCTATTGCACACCTAGTACTAGCCTATATCGTACAACGCGCTTCGTAGAGTGACCGCATATTGCAGTGCTTTCCAGCGTTGTCAAGCGCACATAGCGGAATCGGCAGAACTTCCCTTTAATTCACAATTACAACCAAGGTGCTGAGTTGAAATTTGGTTTTCAGCACACATGGCTGCTCCCTAAGGAGTCTACGCTGCCGCTGATCCTGCCTAAAAGGCGTCACGCCAGTGGTGGCGCCAGATTTTTTAGTGAAGGGGTCTGACGCCCTGTACTGGACGTGTAACTAGCAAATGCGGCCTGCCTGTTGTCAAGAGCGTCCTACGAATGAAGATCTCCATGAATTTGACACTGAAGTTCTTAAGAGTGAAGTGTCTCGTATCGGGGTTTTTCATAAGTACAAAGATACTTACATAATGTACTATCATCGCAGGAATGTTTAAGGGTGATTTTGGTAGAAGAGTCCCATCCCGGCAATGTTTTACGCAGCCACATACGCAGAAGAGCCCCATCCCAGGATTGTCTTAAAAAGTCATTTGCACGGATAAGTCGCACCTCGGGATTGTTTTGAGTAGCCATTTGCGCAATGTGTCACGTCCTAGGGTAGTTTAGGTAGCTGTTTGAACTGAGAAACATATTCACGGTGCTGGTTCACGCAGCCATTTTCCCCAAAAATGGTCAAAGCGAGCTGTTCGATAACGCAGTGGGGAATGAGACATACACGTAGGAAAGGAGCTGCTTGTAAAGTCTGCAAGTGCGTTATCAATAGTGAGTGATCTTCGACGTTTTGCGACCAAGTTATAAAGTAGGTTACGAAGCATTCAGACTTTCATTGTCTCTTGCGAACAATTGACATGGTAGTAGAAGTCTTAACGTTCGCAGCTTCGCTACTTGATGGTCTCCTTCCCGAATATAACCTCTAACTTCAAGTCTGTAATGATATTTGCATTTAGGAAAATATGACGCGCATCATATACATATCCTATTCCTTTTTTCATGATGGCACCAGATGAACACCAAAGCATTCTTCAGAACCAACACCTTTAATCACTCCTGCTCTGTGCTCAAACATGCTTCCCATGCACTTACTCGGCTTTCTGTCTTTGTGAAGCCCTCTTGCTCTACGCATGTCTACGGCTGTGCCAATAACAATCATCGCCGTCAGAAAAGCTATTACTGCACTGCAATGAAAAAAAAACAAGAACAAATTATGAAGGTTGTATCCTCACCAGCCTTGGCTTCTCTTATCAAGGTGCGCGAATCATGCACTTACCCGATAATAACTTGCGCTTTTGTCACACCAGGAGAAATTTCCGTAACGCAGTCTGATATGGTGACGTGAATTGAAGAGGGAAGCACTGGAAAATACCATAATACAAAAAAAGACTTCACATGACGTCGCGATTGAAGTTACGAATTTACCGATTTTTGAATTAAAAAGCGCACACCATCAGAGAATGCAACACTATGCCTGCGCAAACACTAGTATCTGCGACCTCTTGCGATGCTTGATAAAAACAGAAGAGAAACACACTCCATATATGAAGCGACCCTCTTAAGGTGAACTTATTATTTACTCCTGTAAGTTCGAAAAGAAATACGAAAAATATTGTAAATTTTTACTTCGCCATTTCTTGTGCCTTAAAAAGTGAGGTAGCACGTGAACGCGGCACCGGCTACCACTTCTCTAATTTATTTTATTTATTTCATAAATAGACGTGAAGAAGTTATTTCGAAGCAGTCGGTGGGACTGCGCAGAGATATTTAATAATAAAATAATAAAGAAATAATAACACTGTTGCGTATGTTGCATCCCTTTTCAGGGGCGCGAAACTGTGCGGTTATCTTGAGTATGTTAAAAATCTGGGCCAACTAATGTTAACTTTTTAATTCATATTTTAAAGTCACTTCATTTCAATTTACTGCTTGCATTGTTCTAATACTTTCGTTATCTTGCCAAGCGCAAAAAATCCAGGTGAGAGTCGACACATAGAATCACATTTAAATGATGAGTTGAATGACTGCGTGATGATTCTTCAGACAAGTTGGTCGACGTTTCGATAAAAGAACCAATCTTTGTCCAGACATACGTCACGCTTTTTAACAAAGACAGGTTGCCCTCTCCAGATGTCGGCCAGCTTGTACCGTAGCAACTTCTGTTGATTCAGCATATGCACTCACTGTACCGATGACACATGACACTTCATAAAACTAACTTACCTGCTCTCATAAGCGCCTCCATTTCTCGCTCATTGCAGGCGTTCATCACGCATATTCCTATGCGCACGAATGGTATGCGCCGCTCCTTAGCATGCTGCCTGAATCTTCCAATCTGAAAAGAACCATTTCATTTTCTTTCTAAATTTGCACTAGCTAAATATTAGCACCTAATGTTCTTGGGGGTGCTGACAAAACAATAAAAAAATCTCCGCCCAGCACTCCATGTACGAAAGGCTAACCAGGGAAAGCTGAAACGTGTGGCTCCAATGTTCAGCAGTGAGTTCAACTGGACGCTGCACTGAAGCATTTCACAATTACTGGCTAAATGTTTGTGCTTCTTAATGAGGTTACCACACGTTTGGCTTGAGTTACCCAAATGCTTATTTCAGATGCCGCACATTGTACATCTCATGACCACGGTCATGGAGAACTGTAATGAACGTTTAAATGCGTTTAGCAATGCGTTAATCACATTGGTTTTTCTCGAACCACAGGCGGTCACAGACGTCACAACTGAAGCCAAAGTGCCACTGGAGAAACTTCCTCCAAAAGCCGGTGTTCGCCCTGACGAATGCACTCCCCCAATCATTGATTGATAGATATGTGGAGTTTAATGTCTCAAAACCACTATATGATTATGAGAGACGCCGTAGTAGAGGGCTCCCGAAATTTTGGCCACCTGGAGTATTTTAACGTGCACCGAAATCTGAGCTCCCCCAATCGTCACGTAACTGACGCTGTCGTGCCCGCGACGGCTCTTGTTCGGCGAGGTGTTGTTGCAGGCGTTTTTCACCTTCAAGTGCTTTTTACCTAGATGAATGATGACTTTTTTACCTTAAAATATGTATCCTGCAGACGTGAGTGGCATTCACGAAACATTAAACTTCAAGCCTTTGACATCGTGAGCTCAATCGGCTGCGTGGTTTGCAAGATCGCCGCCACTGGGGCTTACATTCCCGTCCTCAATTTAGCGTAGCTTAAAAGACTGCCAAATCATCGGTATGCAGTTCCTGCTATCACGCAACTTCAAGGGCCTGTTTTAGAGCCCGTATTGCAGCATTGGCTCGGCGAACGTAAGATCTTTCAATTTTCTAATGTCAGCTCTCATAGAGTTGTCTGTGGCTTACCGTTGGGAAAGGATTCAGTAAAAGCTGTTGCGGACATGCTGGACGCCCAGGCTTCGACGGTACGGACGACGACACTCACAATGCAGCCAATGGTGCACGTGCTGGGGTACGACGCTGAGAACGACGTAACTGATAGTACAGCCAATGGAGACCACTCGTGACACCAATGCCGAATATTTCTTCGTTTCTCCTAGCCGTATATACAGCTTTCGCTTCGATTATTAACCACCGTAGGAGGATTCAGATTGAATAAATGAGTTTAAGAGGAAAGAGCTGGTGGGTGGGCACCTATTTGAGGGCACTAGTGCGTCCACCTGGTCCGAGAAGTTATTTTGGACCTACAGATCTCGGCGAGCTGCCAAACCAGGGTGAGCATTCAGAAACATTTTTTTTTTTCATAAGAATTTTTTGTGAGAGAAAACTAGGGCCTGTCCTGATGCTGTTCTGTACAGAGGGGTCTCCTGTGAAAAGGAACAGCGGAGCGCCTGTTGTCTGCTCGGCGCCACCACCGGCCGGCTGCGGCAAACTAGTTTCGTGCATGAGCAGTGAGTGCTGTGGGCGGCGCTCGTTTGTCGTTTGCTACAGTTGCGACCACGCTCCGTATCGGCTCGATTCCCGGCCGAAGTTGAAAAATCGTGAAAATGGTCACGTTCTTTTGAGCTACAAGAAAATTGACGGGAATGATCTGATTGATGATTGATTTCTGGGGTTTAACATCCCAAAACCACCATATGAATATCAGAGACACCGTAGTGGAGGGCTCCGGAAATTTTGATCACCTGGGATTCTTTAACGTGCACCTAAATCTGAGCACACACGGGCCTACAACATTTCTGCCTCCATCGTAAATGCGGCTGCTGCAGCCGGGATTTGAGCTCGCGACCTTCGGGTCAGCAGCCGAGTAGCTTAGCCACTAGACTACCCCGGCGGGGCAACGGGAATGATCTCTAATCAGACAAATGTCACTGGACACATCAGCAAGACTGTGGTGTTTGGTTCGCCTTCTCGTCAGATAAAGAATCACGCACTCCAAAAAAGATTTTTCAGTTGGCGTCGATTAGGGCGGCTCTACGATGGCTCGGGTGCCACACGACGAGAGGCTGCGTATTGTTGAACTGTGGCTAGGAAATACAGTCAACGCACTATTTTAAAATTAAGTAACAGGCCACTTTAAACAGTGAACCGCATTATTCAAACACACAAGGTCGACCGATGAATAAGGGATGCTCCTCGGAAGCCACGCCATAGAAAGACCTTGCTATCATAGATAGCTGCTGTGGTGGACTTCCTTAGGTGTTCTGCTTGAGAGATTAAGGCCAACCTTCGGCTTAACGCTTCGAAAAACACTGTGAAGCGCCGCCTGTATCAGGCAGGCCTGAAAAGCCGAACAGCGGCACAGAAGTTCCTCCAACGCACCACCAACAAAGACAAGCGACGTCAGTTGGTCCAGAGCCACGCAGACTAGACTCAGCAGGACTGGAAGAAGGTAATCTTTACGAACGAGTCCACTTTCCCGACCTGTTCAGACCAGAAAATACGCGTATGGAGTCCTGACTGCACTCGGAATATATTCCTGTGCTAAAAAGCACCTCCTTCACATAATTTTGGTTGGACTATTGATTGTTAAACACTTGCATCATTTGCTCGGAATACCATATATGAGCGATGACACAATACATCAGACAGCACAGTTCGTTTTCCTATGTCACGAACGCAGCAAAATTGGTAAGTCTGGCGCAAGTTATTATGCTTGTGGTTCTCTAAAGCTATAACGCTCGATGTTGGAGGAACAGTGAATGAGCTGATACAGCTTCTAACATACTAATAACAGTGTTTTTGGTGGATGAAGTAGATTAACAAGTTCCAAGTGTAAAAATATTAGCACTACTTCCGTTGCCTGACACCATGCAGTACATATCAGTTAAGTTAAACTTCAGCTACTCGCCAGAATATGTCCAGCGGCTTGCTACAAGTGAAAAAAGGACCGTCGTAAGCGTATGGGGCTGCATCACCAAGGCCGGCCTCGGGCCTCCGGTCCGCCTGGAAGGTAAATTCACGGCTGACAAGTACTGCAACATTATCGATCAAGTTGAACTTCCTCATGCAGCAAATGGTGCTTCCTATGCACATAACTTCGTGTTCCAGCTTGCCAATTCCCCTGTGCATACTGCAAAAAGAGTTGCGTCACTTCTGAAGTATCATCAAGTGGAAGTTATGAGCTGGCCACAACAGTCACCCGACTTGAAGCCCATAGAAAACGTTTGGGGTATAATGAAGAAGACCTTAGTAAGTCAATGCCTGCAAGAGCTCTCGACGATAGGCTATGGAGTGCTGTCGAAGGTGAATGGGACCGTTTGAAGCAAGATGCGTCAATTTGTGAATCTTTGTACGCATCCAGTCCTTTTCGATTGGAAGCAGTGGTAAAGGCAAACGGTGACGTGAACCGGTGTTGAACAACATGCATGGATTCTGCTTGTGTTTTTTCTCAAGCCCGAAAATAGCGAGAGTTTTTGAGAAACTAACGGTTGCAATTTCCTAATAAAAATTTTGCAGCAAGCAACATAATCAGTGCGTACCCTAAAGTGCCTACTGCAAAAACGAAGGCATATTTTTTCATGGTAACAGCCTGAAACTTCAAAACACATTTGCGTGCGGCTAACTTTCACTCGTATCTGTTGCTGAATTCTCTACAACTGCAGGACTGCAACACGTTACAAACACGAGTACGTTTTCACATCGCCTTCATCAGTATGAATTCCACCAAAGGCTAGTTAAAGGCCATTGTAAGTTCTTTGTCAGCTTACGCACTGCAACAGCTTGTATATTTATTAGTGCACAAGAAATCTACACTCCACAACGAAAAATATTTCTCAATATAGCCATACTAGAAATAGACATTCGCAAAAAACGTAGCAGTGCTTTTTTGAACCAACAAAAACAACATTGAGGTAGCATTTTACACGATCTAATTACATTTCAGATTTGCCGCAGCTTTCTATCTGAGGCTGGCCATGTAGCCCGACGAGAAGTTTAAGCGCGGGGACGGCTGGCTTCGCGCCGCTCCGGAGTGGGGCCGCAACTGTAACAAACGAGCGTCGCCCACAGCGCTCGCTGCTCCTGCACGAAAACTAGTTGGCGCTGGAGGCCGGTGGTGGCGCCAAGCAGATGACACGTGCTCCGATGTTCCCACTAACAGCAGACCCCTCTGTACATATTATTAGTCAAAGCTGCTGGTCAGTGGCAGAATTTTATGGGAGCTTGTATTGTCAGACTTCTTAAGCTGGGAACGGTGTTCTATAAAGCCCAACTCAGCCCGAAAAACCACCATCATCCACAGTTTACACGCAACAGTGTGACATATAAATATTTTAAAACAAAATTTTTGTCAGAGTTGGGGGTTTGAACTCGGGATCCTCTGTTTTGCCAAAAGAAATGACATCAGCAAAACAGTCTTGAATTTTTGCGTTTCTTTGGAGCTAACAGCAAAACACCCTCATGGTAAATGTTGGGGGTCGTCTGGAGAAACATTTGCCTATAATGCGTTCGATCACAATAATTGCTAGTTAAATGCGAGGCAATTTTATTTAAATGCCGGGTAATACGATATTTTGAAATCCGGAACCAACCGATCAAGTCTTTGTTTTCAATTTCAATTCATCCCAGCCAGCGACTCACTATTCACGATTGGCGAATTTGTTTTAGCGTGCAAAAATATGCGGGTCCAGCAGCAGCAGCGTAGATGTTCGTCCTCTCCTTCTTTCATTCTCTCAAGTCTTCAGAAAGCAATAGCCGATGCGAACGATGACTCGTACCCCATGCTGCGCGATGTTATCCAGCAGGAAAACCTCTATTGCTTTTTTAATTCGCAGCCACATCAGCCGCTATCAGAAATGGCGTACAGAAAATAGCCCCTCCTCATATGTCCCACTAATATTACATAAACGCCTGGTCTCTACACACCCTGCTGACTTACTCCTCAGGTATG